CACACACACACACACACACACACACACACACACACACACACACACACCCCCAAGGGAGCTGTTACAAAACTTAAGACATATTACTAGCTGTCATCTTCTTCCAAAAGATTGCTGGAACAGGTAAGTGGAGGAACATGAGAAAATGAAGAATGTGGACCAACAGCTAGGGGATAGTATGGCAGGAGAACAGGCAAAGTCACTGGAACCCCAGACTGTAGGATATCCACAGGATGTCCCCTAGTTGTATGGAATGGGTTAGCTTTTTTTTTTTTTTGCCACCTGACATTTTAACACTAATCTGTTTAATTATTGCTTTATAGATAAATATTAGGGTCTTTATTCAATGGAAAGTCATTAATTGAATTTACACTACCTCATAGAACACTCAATCTGAAAATCATTCAACATATATTTGAATGAGTGAGCACCTACTGATACTAAGCAATATGCCAGCTACTGTGAGAGAAATGGAAGAATAGTAAGATATAGCCTCTGATCTCCGTTTGATTTCAAGTTAGAAAGTTAAGATATAAAACATAGAGAACAATTCTGTCTAATCCATGATACTTCACTTTTTGATTCTCCTCTTTTCCTGAATAAACCTTTGCTTCTTTTACTGACATCTTCATTTACCTGCTCCCTAATTGTGAATAGCCTTCCCTTACCAAATATCTATTCCTTATGGATGTAATGGGTTTTTGAAGCTGGAGAGGACTCTGGAGATTATCTAGTCCTATGGTCCTCATTTCACATACAAGAAAACTGTATTCCACAGAGGTGAAATAGTATGTCCCAGGCACATATGTCTTGGAGTGAAAGCCAAATGATCTGTTGATAGTTTAACTGGGATTCTTGGCCAATTCTGATTTGAATTAGACAGACTTTTGAGATCTCTTCCATTTGAGTTTCAGATTTTCTATAAAGAAAGAAGTTGAAGAGAATATGATCTTAAGAGATCCCTTCCCCCCATCCCTTCACTACTAAAGTTATTGGCAAAATGCCTTCAGATATTTAGATGCTACAAAGGCTGTTTTTTGAGAAGAGTAACTAATAGTATGATTTTGAAAATCTCTGTGTACTGTAGTTAATTTTATTAACAGGAGGAACCTTTTATAAGAGCTATAGAACAGAGATGTCAAACTTGGCCTTGCAAAACTTGGACCTGAACAAAATAAATTAAAAGCCAGTACAAAATAGATAATGTTCATTTATGGTTGTCTAAGTCAAGATGTGCCCCATGGGTTTTCTATTTGAGTTTAACACCACTGCTGTAGAACATCCAAATCATCCCAACCCTCCCCTCTTCTAAATACCAAGTTGGGATTCATTCATTGTCTCAGCAGACACTTATTAGGCACCCAAAATTATTGCTTAACTATCTTAAGTTTAAGACACTTAATAGCTATGTGACTCTGGGCAGGTCACTTGACCTCTGTTTGCCTCATTTTCCTCATGTACAAAATTAAGATGATAGCACCTATCTCTCACATTGTTATGAGGACCAAATGAGATAATTGTAAAGCACTTAAACTAGTGCTAGGCACGTGGTAAGTCCAGAGAAGAGAAGACTTGGGGAGAGAGTGATAATCTTCTTTTAAGTGTTTATTTGAAAGGTTATTATGTCTAAGAGAAATGAGATTTGTGTTTTTATTTTTATTATTATTAACATTTAACATTTCATATTGCTGGCATATTTTGGGTCAAATTTATCATTTGGGTGTACTTTTGTGGCCTTTATATATACTTTGTTGGAGCTTCTCATAATCAATATATTTGTGCCCATTTTATAGGATTTAACAAAATGTTATTATTTGGAGTATAGAAGCTTATGCTTGTTGCAGCTTTGTTTTATGTCATGTCTATCATATCAGTGGTTTTTTTTTTTTTATGAGTTCTTAAGTCAGAAGTATAGCCTACGTTGGAAAATACAGTACCAACATTTGGGTTATTGGGGGCAACTTAACATAAAACAAGCCTGTGAGCTAGTTTCTATTTATCCTTTGATCTTTCTTTGGCAAAACAAATGTACAGATTCTTACCTGATTATGTTCCAGGTAAGAGGTCTCATTTACCCTTAGTTTCTTTCCTTTATCTCCACTTCATAGCAAATTAGAAAGGAATAAAAAGCATAGATAATAAGCTTGTATTTTTTGACTAGAAGAATTTTTTTTACTACTTTATACTTTCCTCTTCCCTCTAATTTTTTTTGCTGATAAATGGCTTTAAAAGTGTTTGACAACTAACCAAAAAACAAATGTAGTAGTATTCATATTTTAAAAGGGAATATTACCCTTTCCAAAAAATTCAGACTACTGAAGGGAAAGTCATTTTTAAGTTAATGGAAATTCTTAATTATAAGATATTTACAAAATTGAGTAGAGTTTAAAGACCTTGACAAATGAGAAGTAGAATTGCTCAAAAACAGTGAAATACAATATAAAAATCCTGCCTACCATTTATATGGCACTTTGAAGTTTGCAAAACACTTTGAACACATTATCTCATTTGAGGCTCACAAAAGCCCTTTTGAAGGAAGTACTGCAGATCAGATGGAAAGACTTCACCATTTTCCAGGTGAGGAAACTCACACTTCCTGATTTTAGGATTAGCACTTCATCCAGAATGTGCTATTCTGTCTTTCATTTAGAAGGGATCGAATAGCAAAGCAAGATGAATGAAATAGGAATGAAATAAAATTGCACATAATGATAGCAGCCGTTTATGTAGTACTTCAAAGTTTGCAAAGCATTTTACAAATATAATTTAATGAGCTAAGAAGGGCTGTTAAAAAAAGAAAAATTGCAGTATATTTAGGCATTAGTCAAATCCTAAATTAAGTATTAACTCAGGTTTTTGCCCCAGCGTTTTAAGAGAGCTATGGGGAAGTTTAAAGCCTGTAGAAGAGAAGCAGAGGTGAACTTTCTTTAGTACTTCAAAAGATGTGTGGTTTCTTCATTTTGGGCACTTCTTCCGTGGAAGCAGGTTGTAGCTTTTCCTCAAAACCTTAGTGGATGATGAGGCAATGGAAATTCAGTGGAAAGAAAACCTGGGTTCAGAATGAAAGAGGCCTTACTCTGTGAATGTCCTGGCACTCCTGCACTCCTGCTCTCCTGCCTGTGTCTGTTGGCAAAGCACTAACCCTCTCTCAGTATTCATCCCTGCAGCTATAAAGTGGGGGTGGGGTAAAGATCTTGCCTTAGGAGCCAACCCTGGTTACTGTAGGCACACATTGGATCATACAGCATATCCCCAAAGTCTCCAATTTAAGCTTTACAATCTATGTCTATTAAAGCTTAAAACTGTATGGAGACTTTTAGGACTCCCTCTATATACAGGGTGCTTTGTAAGCTGTAGAGCACTATATGAGGAATCGAAGGAGTCTTTTGGGATCCCTTGTACAAATGAGCTAAAGTATTGTTTAGTAAATCATTGTGGCCAAAAACATTCATGAGCTGGTGGCCAGCGGCTTGGTGATGAGCCTCTCTGAATTCAGTCTGCTCATCGTTCAATTTTCTGTCACATGAACTTGATTCAAAACCTTTCCAACCTGATAGGCCCAGCCAGAGAACAAAGGGTCACCTCTATCATGATAAAGCATCAGAGGGGGAGACCTTTAGTGCTTGTAACATGGTGGAAAAATTTGCTGGACTTGGCATCACAAGAATAGCGGTCAAGATCTGCTGTTGCTGTTTGGTGGTTAGATGACCCTTGGCATTCTATCCCATCTTTATTTCCATAAGTACCAAAGTAAAGCATATAATCTTAGATAAAATAACCAATTCATCATTGAAAGATTTGGATCACAAATTTTTAAAGAAAAAAGAATTTTTAAAACAATTACTATATCATTCTATTTGTGAAGCTTTGCTGATTGCCTCCTGACATTCTAATATCCTAAAGCAATTCATGATTTTGGGGGGGCATTTATGTTTTCAGAGACATAGTAAATACATGGTCACATCTTCATTTGAGTTTTTATTCTATTTAAAAAGATAATTATCATGCCTTTTACATGATTAATAGGTTTTTGTAGTCTATTGAATCAAAGCATCTATGATGTATTCATTATAGTAATATATCATTATTTCCCCAAAAGGAAGACTTTGTAGTATTTGAAATTTCATTTTTTCACTGATGAGAAAAAGTGTTTATCTGTCTGTGTGTATACATATATGTGTATATACACATGCATATATAGATATATACACACACTCATAAACATATACATAAGTATATATCTTTATTGTCTCTAAAAACATAAATGCCCCCCACAATCATGAATTGCTTCAGAATATTCGAAAAGAGACAATCAGTGAGGCTTGACAAGTAAAACTGTATGTTTTGGTACTTCTTCAAAGGAGAATTCAGTTTTAATCAAGTTTTCTGTTATTGGTTTCTTTGAATAATGTAAAACGTGTTTGTAGTACCTCTGAAATTGTGGTGAAGGGAGTCTTGTTCTGGATGTAACCCTTCTGATTTTGTAAAGTTTGGGGAGCTATACTTTAATACCATGAATAATCAGTTAATGAAAGAACTAATTTAGTACATGGAAATACTAATTTCACAATAATTTTATTATTTTTTCTCACTGTTTTAAAATTCTCTCTTGAATAATGTCACTTATTTTTTCAAGTATCATTTTATTAATTGAATTGCTGATTCTTTTTTCCAAGCATAAAAGGCTTTACATATATACTATGTTCCTATTGAGTTGAACTTCAAACTGAACTATAAAAGTGGGATTCTAAACTAATTATTTTGAATAGGTATTTACTTTTCGTGCAGAGAACATCTGTTTGGTCCAATTTAATGTTTTGTGTTGCTGTATCTTACACTGGTGGTAATCAGTTTTAAATGTCATTGGTTCCTCTCTTTACTAAAATATTTCTGGGAAATAAGATCAAGTCTGCCCCACCCGTGGCCAAGTTGATTTATGACTGACTAATCCAGTTTTAAAACTTCATACCAGAAATTCATACCAAATTATTCTTTAGTTTCTGATCTGCTAATGACACCACTTAACAGGTTAATATGTTGTATTACTTTCTAGATGAGCCAACCAGCCCAAGCATTGATCATGATATCGCACACATTCCTGCTTCTGCTGTCATTTCGGCATCCACTTCTCATGTGCCCACTATAGCAACAATTCCTCCCAGCCTTACAACTTCAGCCCCTTTAATTCGCCGTCAGCTGTCACATGATCATGGTAAGTATAAATTAATAAAGGCCTAAAGCCAATTCTAACCTCAATTTTTTTTTTTCTAGCAGGTCATGATATTTTGTAATTTCATAATCATTGCAACAACTCAAAACCCCAATTGTATGCATCTAAGTGTTCAATTTTATGTGTAGGATCTGTTGGGCCCATCCTAGATGGCCAGCGCAATTCAAAAACGGAGAGATCAAAATCATATGATGAAGGCCTGGATGATTACAGAGAAGAGGGCAAAGGGTGAGTACTGGGTGTTTGCTGTGAGACACTCGCACATACCTCTCTGTATAGAGAGACTTGGAGGTGTTCCATTTTAGATTTTCTCATCTATGACTTTGAAAAGCTAAAAAAGGAAGTCGCCTCTAATAAATATATACCTTTTGTCAAATGATGTACAGAATGAATAGGCTAATTTGAAGTCCTGTAAGTACACCTACAAGTTTTCCTTTTCCTTTTCCTTTTTTACTGTCAAAGAGGATCAGGTAGTTACTTATGAGGCAATATTTAAAGGAATAGGAAGATGCCATGCCATTCATTCTCATTCTCCCTAGAGCATACCAATTTAAGTGGCAGTAAAGCACCTAGAATCCTGGTTGCCACTACCAGATGATTATAATTCATCTCTTAGGGATCCTTAATATACCTCTTCAATTAAGAAAAATAAGTTTATAAAACTGAGAGGTTACTTCTTTAATTATGTTTTCATTCATACTTGAAAAAAATCTTTTTAGAATACTATTGAATCAACATTTTATTGAAAGTTAGCTCTCCCATGTGACATATTTGAAATACCCTTTTGTATCTGAACTACCTTTTTGTATGTGTGATAAATAATCAGATACCATTTATTTCCCCCAACAGGTCTTTTAAGCATGTATCTAGCTTGAAGGGAATCAAGGTAGGTGTTTATTATTCAAGTATATTATAAATGATTCTGTTTATTTTTTATCATTGTAGCTCTCTCATTTTGATCATGGACTTCCATGCAAGCAACCTACTAATACTTAAATATTTTGAATTTTTTCTTCAGTGAGCCCACAAAATATTGCAAAATAATAAATGTAAGCTCAATTCTTTATCCAATTTTTAGAGAATACATATTTGTCAAGAATATTACCTCAAACATTCTTCCAAATATTCCTAAATTACTTAAGGTAAATATGAAAAAAAATTAGATGTACAATATTGATGGCAATGAAATTCATCATTCCTGCTGCTTTTCTTTTACACTATCAAAAGCCTTCATAACCAAATGTGTATGATTTCATGAAGATATTTTCTGAGGACTTTGTTCAAAAATAACTTCCACTTTGACTCTCAATCCTCTAGGTAACCCTCTAAGACTATAAATTGCAGAGAATGTGCTGACCTACCTAGGTGGAGGGAGTTTCAGGTAGTGAGAATTGGTGAGGGAAGGTAGGTACAGTTACCAAGTGATTAGGAACTGCTAAAGAGACTGTCGAAGAAGACATTAGGTTCTAACCAAGTTAGTTGAAATCACTTACAAGGAATTGGAGAGTTGAGTACTGAAGATCTCACAGGCCTAGATTCCTTCTTCATACAGATTATTTTAAAGGGGAAAATAGAAGACATCTTATTTTGTTTTTGTGTTTTTCTATAGGTCTTAGACAGCCAAAAATCTTCTGAAGACTCTGGGTCCAGAAAAGATTCCTCTTCCGAGGTATTTAGTGATGCTGCCAAGGAAGGATGGCTCCATTTTCGACAACTTGTCACTGATAAGGGGAAGGTACTGAAATTGAAAGCTGTTCTTCAACGTTCAAACTAATTAAACACATGGCAAATTAACCTTTAAAATCTGTAACTATCCAGGGCAAAAACATCCACAAGAATTCAATCATTCATTTGCCTCCTTTTCCAAAACCAAACATTTAACTATTTTGAAACATTCTGACTGATTTTGAATTGGGTACTTTTGTCCAGATACTAGAGCAATACAGATGCAAAGTTCCTGGAAGGGAAGGAATGTTCTTAGCTCTGATTGGGATATAGTAATTCACATAGTAGACATTTTAAAAATATCCATTTTTCAGTTATATACATTACAAGGCTCTTATTCCTTTTCTATTATAAATCTGTTGTAATTTCACTTCTTTATAAATTAAATTTAAGTTTTATCTAAAAACCATAACCTTCAGGGAAATTCTCACTGTAAAAAATTGCCAAGTGTCCACTGACCAACTTAATCATGAGTAAAGTTCCTTTCAGTGGTAAAGATCTTTAAGTATCATCATAATAAATTTGTTATCTGTTTGGATAGTATCGTTTGCTACAAAATGATTGAACACTTTTTTCAATTCTATTCATTTTTTGTTCACAATAGAAGTTGGATTCTCTTGGCCGAGTTAGTTCAATCTTATGCTTCATCCCAAAACACCCTCTTCTGACCCTCCCTCATTCTGTATATAGATTGCAGTATACTTATATTGTATAGTTTTTTCATTTATACATCACCATGTAGGTTGTTGGTTCCTCAAAAACAGGGATACTATCTCACGTTTGTGGAGAACTTTATGGATGTGTCCTCATCATATAATTTAGAACCCTATATAAAAGTGAGCTGTTATTATTATCCAAAGGGGAATACTTTTTGAGTTGGTTTCTATAACTTTTTATGAGCAGCTCTGCACAACCTGTCAAGTCAGTGTCCTCTATGCACTGCTTATGTTTTCCAGCGAGTTGGTGGTAGCATTCGGCCGTGGAAACAGATGTATGTCGTCCTTCGGGGCCACTCACTCTACTTGCACAAAGATAAAAGAGAACAAACCACTCCATCAGAGGAAGAACAACCTATCAGTGTAAATGCTTGCTTGATAGATATTTCCTATAGTGAAACCAAGAGGAAAAATGTATTCAGGCTTACCACCTCAGATTGTGAATACTTATTTCAAGCTGAAGACAGAGATGACATGTTAGCCTGGATCAAGACCATCCAGGAGAGCAGCAACCTCAGTGAAGAGGTATGTTTTTCTGAGAGGGTACTAAGATTCTAGTCTGGAGAGCCTTTATTTGTTATGCCGTTAGCTATAAAGCTCTTGATGGTGCAGAGAAAGCAACTATATCCCCATTGTCACTTTACTTACCTGAAATTCAGCATTATGGAACAGGAAAAGGAGGGGATGGATCTGCTGTGCTTTCCTGGGCAGCCCCATTGGACTATTCATCCAGAGGCTGACTTGGTCACTGTACTTTAGCCTCTCTGTGTCTCGTTTTCTCTCTCATGGGAAGATGATCATTTCATAGGATTTTTGTGACGAACAGGGAGAGTTTATAGAATCTCAGAGTTGAGAAGCACCTCAGAGATAGGCTCATTTATTTCATATCTGAGAGTAGAAAGTCCCACCATAACATCACTGACAACATTTACAGTGACAGTGAATCCATTTCCTTCCCAGGTAGCACATTTCTCTTTTAAATACCTCTTTTATTTGGGAGGCTTCTCCCTCTATAGAACGTTTCTGTCAGTCCAAGTTCCGCACCTCTCACACACACCCTTTTCACATGATAGCCCTTCGATTAGTTTAAGACATACCCAAGATCATGTACAGAAGGCACTCTGAAAATGCACCATTGTATTATTGTGATTATGACCATGAATTGAATTCTGCCAGCAGACTGAGGCTACTTGGAAAACACACACCAAGCTAATTCTATGCCTATCCACATTTTTATCTGCTGGGCTAAAATGTTCACAGCTGATGTTCAAATACCACTAATGAGAGAAACTTGCTGCTTGAGGCCCAAGTGTCTGATGCCTCAGGTGCCAGGTCTCACTTTAGTGACTGTTGTAGAATGCAGGAAGGGGGAGGGTAAGAGCTCCTCTAGGGTTCCTTTCTCCTTTTCTTTGTCCAGTGTCATACAGGGAATAAGTCCCAGAATCTGATTCATCCATATCTCCTTACTATGCTGCTTTCCACAATACTATGTTTTCAAAAACCATGGTATCCTGTAACATGTGATTAGGGTTTCTGTGAGATAATGTATATGCTAGTGATTCTTATGGGACAAATTCTCCATATGAAAATAGGCTTAACTTTCTGCATTTGAGGCCAAAATTTCCCTAATTCCTTTTATTTCAAAGTGATTCTATAATCTTAGGCCTCTCTGACCCACATTTTATAGGTTCTGTCCATTTATTTCAAGCCCCAAAGGGTTCTGGGAAGAAAATGTTAAGCCTCACTTACATGTTTTAAAAATTGGGCACTTCCATAAAATTGCTATTTCAACCCTGGCCTCCATTTGTATTCTAGGATACTGGAGTCACTAGCAGAGACCTAATTAGCCGGAGGATAAAGGAATATAATAGTCTAATGAGGTAAGATACCCACCATCTGTTAGGGGGTTTGTGTTGGGGTTTTTTGTTTGATTTGGAGGGGGAGAAGGTATAGAGAGAAAGCCAATAAATGTTAACTGTTGATTTTCTTCCTTCAGCAAAGCAGACCAGTTGCCAAAAACACCTCGCCAGAGTCTCAGTATCAGGCAGACTTTGCTTGGTGCTAAGTCAGAACCAAAATTTCAGAGTCCACACTCTCCCAAAGAAGAGTCAGAAAGAAAACTCCTCAGTAAAGGTACATGCTTTTATTGGAGAAATTTAACACATTCCGTGATTAAGATTACTTAGAATATGAAGTTCTAAAAATATTTTTACTTTAAAAATTTCTTTCCTAAATATTGTTTTTGCTAACCCTCAGTGGTTGGGTTTATCTGGCTTGTAAGGGCCATAGACCTTTCCCCTTCAGGCTTAGGCTCAAAAGATGTAGCTTGATAGTATATATTACAAAAATTAAGAAGTAAGCAAAATGTATTCCTTAAAAGTGCAAGTACAAAATTCAGTTCTAGCACCTGTTGTTTTATATAGAAATTTAATCTGGAGAATATGAAGAAATAAGCATATCACACAGAGAGACATAAATTAGATAGGCTACCCGGGTACTTAACGAGGCCCACTTTGGAATTGAGTCATTTCAGGCTCCATCTTTTCTTAACAAGATTCATTACTGCCAGCATTGTCATTAAGACCTGGTTAGCAGGAAAACACCATGATCATATCATCTGGAGTGGATATCTGAAAGCCCTCAGGCATTTTATCCAGCCCTTTATTTTTTTGTTTAGATAGAAGAATGAGAGGGAGCCTGGAATAAAAGGTAGAAAGCTGGCCTCAGAATCAGAAAAAAATCTGAATTCAAATCTCCTCTCTGGCACATAGGGATTGTGTGACCTTGGGCAAGGCTCTTAACCTCTGAGGGCTAAAAGCCTCTCTCTGAGCAGGAATCTGTATTTCTAGAATGAGCTCCTTCACTGATAATATCTCACATCTGGTCCAAAAAAAAAAGATCAGACTGTCAACACATGTACTCATACATATACATGCATGTGTGTGTGTATAGATATATTAGTGTAAATAGAGGAGCATTAGAAACTGAAACATGTTGGAGTATAAGATCATGGACCTTATTTAAAGAATCTTTCTCTGTATTTCTAGCACAGTTACCTTAGTTATAATAGGTACTTTGTGAACATTTGTGGAATTATTTTCATTGAAAAATTCAGCATAATTCACATTGCAAACAGGTGAAAAAAAACTATCAGTGTATTTTAATATATGTGGAAGAAGGTAATTTTCATTTGGTAATGAATGACAAGAGATGGATTAGGATGATCTGAAACTTTGTTAATTGGTGCCTTTTTTTTTATGTTAAAGGGATCTCATTTAAACCAACATAGTCCATGTATTTGAATTATGATTCAAACATTTTTTATTTCCCCCCTTTTTCCCCCAATATATCACCCTTTGTTTTCAACAATAACCAAAGATGACACCAGTCCTCCAAAAGACAAAGGCACATGGAGAAAAGGCATTCCAAACATCATGAGGAAAACATTTGAGAAAAAGCCAACTGCTGTAGGAACCTTTGGTGTCAGACTGGATGACTGCCCCCCGGCTCACACCAATCGGGTAGGAGACAAAAGCCTTGCTTGTACCCTAATAGTCCAAGGCATCTGTAATCTCATCAGTGTGGGTTCCCCCTTCAGTGATACGGAGAACAATCTGTGATGGTTGTCCATGTCTTTCTGTAAATTTGCCCCTAGCAGGGCGTGCACCCGTGATGGGGGCCTTACTTTCATTCTCTTGACATTTTGTAGCTCCCACTGGAGGCACAAAGTACCCATTGGTAATCCCGTGCCCTCACTTCAGTGACCACTTCATCTTTTTGTGTGTCATGTTTTTTCCATGACTAACGTGTGCATAATTTATTTTTTGTAATGTGTAACCTCCTTGTGCCCAACATATACTTCTCTATTGACCTTTGGATGTTCCTTAACTTCTCCAGAGATTTGTGGTGATGTAGGAATTGCAGCCATCTGTTGCCAGTCTGTCAGCACGCATCTAAATGCCTTCTATGCGCCAGGTACTGTGCCTCCTTCTGGGGGTATGAAGGCAAAAGAGAAAGCAGCCCTTGCCCTCACAGACCGTCTGTGAGCAAAACTGAGTAGAATCCTTCAGGGTAAAAAATGGTCATTCAGTGAAATAGGGGACTTTCAAGCATTCTTGATAAAAAGACCAGAGCTGAATAGAAAAAAAAAAAATTGACTTTCAAGATTCAGCTCAAGTGCCAACTTCCTTCAGCATGAGGACTCTCCTGGTCCCTTCCGTGGCTGGGATAACAACATGCTTTGGATAGCTGTATACAGAATAGATACAAAGTAGAGTGGGCAGCACCAGCTGAAGGATTCTACTCAGTTTTGCTGGATAGGTGATTCTTGTTTGTAATCCTATCTCCTTTGCCCTCTGAAATATTATATTCCATGCCTTCCAGTCCCTTAATGTAGAAGCTGCTAAATCTTATGTTATCTTGATTGTGTTTCCACAATACTTGAATTGTTTCTTTCTGGCTGCTTGCAATATTGTCTCCTTGACCTGGGAACTCTGTAATTTTGCTACAATATTCCTAGGAGTTTTTCTTTGGGGATCTCTTTCAGCAGGTGATCAGTGGATTCTTTCAATTTCTATTTTGCCCTCTGGTTCTAAAATATCAGGGCAGTTTTCCTTGATAATTTCTTGAAAGATGATGTCTAGGCTCTTTTTTGATCATGGCTTTCAGATAGTCCAATAATTTTTAAATTCTCTCTCCTGAATCTATTTTCCAGGTCAGTTGTTTTTCCAGTGAGATATTTCACATTGTTTTCTAATTTTTCATTGTTTTGGATTAGTTTTACAGTGCTCTGATTTCTCATGAAGTCACTAGCTTCCAATTGCTCCATTCTAATATTTAAGGAAGTATTTTCTTCAGTAACCTTTTGGACTTCCTTTTCCATTTGGCCAATTTTGGTTTTTAAGGCATTCTTCTCCTAATTGGCTTTTTGAACCTCTTTTGCCATTTGGGTTAGGCTATTTTTTAAGGTGTTATTTTCTTCAGTATTTTTTTGGGGTCTCCTTTAGCAAGTTGTTGACTTGTTTTTCATGATTTTCTTGCACATCACTCTCAGTTTTTCCTCTCCCTCTCTTACTTGCTTCTCAAAATCCTTTTTGAGCTCTTCCAAAGCCTGGGACTGATTCATATTTTTCTCGGAGGCTTTGGATGTAGGAGCTTTGGCTTTGTTGTCCTCTGGTTGTATGTTTTGACCTTCTTTGTCACCAAAGTAAGATAATATAGTCTGACTCTTTTTGTGCTGCTTGCTCATGATCCCAGTCAATTACTTGAGTTATAAACTCTTTGTTAAGGAAGGGGCCTGTTTCCCTTGTGGAGAATGTACTGTCCCAAGCTTTGGGGGTTTGTACAGCTGTTTTCAGAGCTAATACTAGGGACCTACAAATTTTCAGTTCTTCCAAGGTACTGTGATCAAGGGTGAGGTGTTTACTTCTTTCCTGGCCTGTGCTTTGGTCTGTGAGTGACCACAAGCAGTCTTTTCTGTCTTGGAACTGTGAGGAGGATTCCCTTTCCACCACCACAAGCTCCACCATGCCAGCGCTCCTAGCCCCAGGACTGCCACCCAGAACTGTTACCCAAATCCAAGCATGGGCAAAGCAAGAGAATCCTGCACCAGCAAAGAGATTCCTGCAACCCCACTCTGATCACACTCAATTCCCCCTCAGTCTGTGAGCCGGAAGCTCAGGAGCCAGCCGCTGGCCAGAGCCGAGCTTGGGGAATGGGGCTGGGACCCTGCCCTTCCCTCTCACCACCACGGAAACAGACTTTTCCCACTGACCTTGTAAGTTGTGTTTGGCGTTCCTGGGTTGAGAAGTCTGGAAACCGCCACAGCTGCCTGCAATTCAGTCCTCTGAGGCCTGCTCCAGGGTCTCTGTGGCCTGCACACCCATGCCGAACTGTGTTCCTTTCCAGTGTACCTTTCTGTGATATACCTTTCCGATCAACCTTTCCGGTTATCTTGGGCTGGAAATTTGTTTCACTCTTTCTTTTTGTGGATTCTGCTGCTTTAGAATTTGTTTAGAGCCATTTTTATAGGTATTTGGAAGGGTTTGGGGGGAGAGCTGAAGCATGTCACTGCTTTTACTCCACCATCTTAGCTGAATCTTGAAGCAAAGAACACTTATATTTTGTATCTTGTTTGGGGAGTTCCCTCCATGATGCAGTTTGCAAACATCTGCCTGCTCCACCTGTGTGTGTCTGTCTTCCCCAAAGTTCTCCATCCAAAAGGCTAGAGACCTTTCTCCATTTCTCCCTGCTACACAGGGCTACTAAGAAAGCACTCTGTCCGTACCCCTGTCTTCTCCCTTCCCATTCCCAGAATCAGCCCATCTTCTCTTTCTGTTGTCTGATTCTTGAATTACCTTCTTTACTCTTGTTCTTTGGAGTGCCTGGTTGATGATATGTTGCAGCCTGCTCACACCAATCATGCCGCTTCTCAGTGTCTGCCAAGAGAGGTTCCCAGGGGGAGTGGTGAACAGATGAGCTTTGTTTGTTAGGGGAAGCTTGGGGTTGGTCCAAAAGGTTTTGCAGTTTTCCAAAAGCAATCCAGCCAGCTTTCATTCTCCTTTTCATCTCTGGACCCAGATATAGGTACCATTGACAAATTCGGTAGGTGTCCAGTCAGACACATGTTGTCATCTGGACATCCATTTGGTCTTCCCTGTACATATGGTCAGGCCAAACTCCTTTGAAGGATTGCAGATCTCTTCCAGGAGGCTCTGCAATGTCTTCTGGCTTGATGCAATGAACAGGATGTCATTTGCAATCAGCAGTATGTGGGAACTTCAGCATCCGCTGGGGGTCCCTTTTCGTCTTAGACCCTACGTTGGACTTGCTCAATTCACTGGCACATATCTCCTTATTTCATGCCTCACTGGATGCTTCTTGTCAGAGGGTCATTAAATAAAATGATTTATGCTGTTACGTCTTCCAGGGAATGAAGATGGTGTCTGGGTGGGAGACACCTTGTTGGAAAAGAGCCTGTAAGACAGCATTTTGCTTCAATGAGTCAAATGTTTTTTCATAATTGATAAACATTATGTTTGTTAATAGGATCTTATCTTCTCTATGAATTTCAGTTAATTTTGAGATGTGCTGCATTGTCAGATATCATTTGTGAAAACCGTCTTGTTGCCTAATACCTTTTATCAGAGTGAGATTTTGTCCATACCTTTGATATCTTCCCATTCTTTGGACACCTTAAAAATCATCACTCAACATCCTTATAAGTGGATACCATCTCCACGAATATCCTCTATTAATGACATAGTTGTCCCAGTAGGATTGCTTTTCCTTTATTTGTTCTCATTAAAGCCATTTCTACTTCTGTATCTTGGAGATGGTGGTGTTAAGGTCCAGGTGGGGTGATCCCAGTGTCCTTGATGGATAAAAGAGTTTGTTGTAATATGTTTTAGACAGGTTTTACTTTCTAGTGATTCTCCTTTGTTGTATGAGACAAAACTGCTAATAATCATCTGCCATCCTTTTTTTAAAAAAGATTTTACAAATAAGTTTATACTCTAACTTGGTGTTGCCTTCAGGAGCCATCTCTCAACATTTAGCTATCAAGGCAGATGTTTGCTGACTAAGAGACTTTCTGCCAAGCTCTGTCATTTACCTTGATTTAATTTCTTCATGAAATTACTGTCTTTGGTGTTAATGTTAATGTTGATGTTAAAAAGATGAGATTTTATTTCAGGGGAAAACCTGAGGTTATTAAAAACTGCCCAGTTTTCCAAAGGCAATCTAGCCTGCTCTGCTTCTGTTCAATTCTGGGGTCAGTTCCTTGTCTTTTGAGAATATCTTAGATAAATGATAGACTAGCTCTGCAGATTGATCACCCAAATGCCTGTTGCAGTCTATCAGTAGACATTTTGCTTCTTTGACTTACTTTTTTCCTGTATGGAGGCTTAGGCCTACTTTTTTGAGAGAATAGAGATGTTACTTAGGAGGTTCTACACAAAGACATGGAAATTTCAGTCATCTTTGTACAAGAGCATCTGGAGGACCTCACCGTCAATACCACCACATTCCTTTTTTCTTCTTCATGACAATGCTGAACTCCTCTAGCAAGCATACATCAGTCTGTTTTATGCTTCCCTTGAAATCACTAATCAAAAGTTGAACAATGTTATCCCTGTGAAATCTTTCAAGGAAAACAGCATTAGAGAAGATAGTTTGTCAGATGTTTTTTATTGTTGTTGTTCCACCTTTGTACTCAAAGAGGACCAGTGATATCACAATATTGGTGTCAAGGGACAGTGTATTCAACTGTGGCTTATCAGGCCAATACAGGTTTGGAACGCTCTACCACAGGTTAGGAACAAACACTCCATTTGAACATTTGGGGTGGAGATATCTCTAAATGTGCACATGTCACGTTTCTTTTGTGCTCCTGCATTTCTGCTTGGCTCATGGAGAGCATAGTGCCATCTTGGATGCAGGCATCCCAGGCTGGGCAATCCTGTGCCCACATCTCCCATGTCTCACAATTGATACTAAAGTTCTTCTGAGAAACCTTGAGAGTGTCCTTGTACTGCTTCTTCTAACCTGTGTGTGAGCACTTACCTTGTGCTAGTTCTCCATAGCATAGTCTTTCAGGCAAACGTATGTTAGGCATTCGCACAATGTGGCCAGCCCAAGAGAGTTGCGCTTTCTGCAGTAGGATTTGAATGCTGGCAGGTCAGCTTGAGAGAGGACATCAGTTGTTTGGTACCTTATCTTGCCAGGTGATCTTCAGAATAGTCCTAAGACAATTCAAATGGAAACAGTTTTGATAGTCAAGAAGCAGCAGAATATTGTATTCTCTACCCTTTTCAGTCATTCGTTACCATAAAGATGGATTGCATTAAAGACAATACCATTTCTGTAAGTCTGTCTGTTCCTTTCTGAAACTTTCATCAGGGTTGCCCTCCGTATAGATGTAGGCTAATTTTGTTTCTCAAAATTGAAATTTGATCTCCTACAAGCATCTGTTCACTCCAGCCAGATCGACATCCCTCACTCACCCTCTGGAAGTCCTGTTTTTCCTCCAAGCCTCATTTGAGGGTTCCATTAAACTCCACCACCTGCCCCTCCCTGTCCCCTAGTTAGTTTCTGCCCTCAACCAAGAGGACAAATTTAGAAAAGAGCTGGCAGGCCAGGATATTTTTTGAGACATTAAATGGCTGTGCATTTTGTAAAACAAAAGCCTAACGAAGAAAGTAAGTGTTGAATTTGCTTGATTAAAATACATGTTTAGGAGAGGTATGTAAAAAGCTCGATTTCAAGTCTGAAGTAAAGTTGACCTTCTTTAAGAACAATTTGCATTCCCCATACTCTGTTCATGAACTAATTGCCTGACTTCTAGTGTTCTTTGCTCAGCCTGAACTTACCCAGCCATTTGATAGTCATCAGAAAAACCATATTTGGTACTTTAAGATTTACAAAGCTTTACAATAACAACCTTGTGCAAAAGATGCTGTAGTCATCATTGGACCCTTTTCATGGAAACTGGGTCGTGGCAGAGTGTAGTCACTTGCCCATGATTCTCACAGCTAATAAATGCTGGAGGCAGGGTTCTGAAGCTAAGTCTTCCACACCCCCACACCAAGTACTCTATCAGAGAACGCTTTCCCCTCTTACATCCTCATTTCCATCTCAGCAGTCCGAATATGTTTAACTCAATTACAACTAAGTTCATTCTTCTTTTGATTCTCCACATGACCTAAAGAGCAAAAATTTTTTTTGAGAAATATATTTTATGTAGAGATAAATAATCACTTAATATGATCATTTGAGGCCTATAAAAATAAGAGTTGTCTCTTTTTGTTTTGTAGTATATTCCACTGATAGTTGACATATGCTGCAAATTAGTTGAAGAAAGAGGACTTGAATATACAGGTATTTACAGAGTTCCTGGAAATAATGCTGCTATCTCAAGTATGCAAGAAGAACTCAACAAGGGAATGGCTGATATTGACACACAGGATGATGTAAGTTAATTCATTAATTTTCATTGATCTGAATGTTTCAGAATGTTTTGGTGACTGTGACATATTACATATTTCCATTCTGAATACCTAGAAATGGCGAGACTTGAATGTAATTAGTAGTCTGCTGAAATCATTCTTCAGAAAACTCCCTGAGCCTCTCTTCACAAATGGTGAGTCATCTTCTGTAAAACCAGTTTAATTCTCCTACCCCTAAGTTTTGATTTAAAGAAAATTAAAGTGGAAGTAAAGTTCTATGGTAGGAAACTGGGATTTTTTCGGGGAGTAAATTTCACTATTTAGAATCCATGAAAACCAGTTTATTGACATTCAGCCATACTACATTGTTGTGTCCCTCCTTATATCTGGCACTCAGAATAACATTTCTTACTCTCCCCAGACAGAATCTTTAAACATGTTAGTATACATTACCTTTAATTACATGTTTTTAGTAAATCAACAAATCCTTGCTTAGCATGTCACACACACATATTGATATAGCTATACGTACAGAAATAGATGATCTTGTGGTTGGTGTTAAGGTCAGGAAAAGGAGAGGTATGGTGAAGGCAAAGTTTCTGCTTTCATGGATCTTTTCCACTCTGAGTTACTTTAACATAGTTCTCATTCAAATTGATGTCATTTTGGAGGCCTAAATTTTCAACCTACTTAAGACCCACTCTTTTTCTGTAAATAAATATCTGTTATTTTGTTAACAATACAAAGGATACATTCAGCCTAATCAGTTGAGAAAAAAATGTCTTTCCCTTGCCAGATAAATATGCAGACTTTATTGAAGCAAATCGAAAAGAAGATCCCTTGGAGCGTCTAAAAACATTAAAAAGACTAGTGAGTATTATTTGTCCGTTTGGGGATTACAACAGAAAGTTTTTCAAGTTTTAAATCCATCACTCAAATGATGTTTTTACAGATTCATGATTTGCCTGAACATCATTATGAAACGCTTAAGTTTCTGTCTGCTCATCTGAAGACAGTAGCAGAAAATTCAGAAAAAAACAAGGTAGGTAAATAAAGAATTCTAGACATATTCTTTAACACTTTGAATCCAAACTTGATGGTGTATGTAACAAAATCCAAAGTAGACTTCTAATGGAAAGAAATGGGTACAAATTTGTGTAGCTGGCTTAATTACCAAGTAGGTCCCCACATCTAGAAACAGTAGAAGGAAGGGGCACAGATGTAAACTAGTTCTGATGGTTCCAGTATTTTTCTTCCCACTCCTTAGACATGTCGGTCTTTCTCATCTCCTGGCCTTCACATAGCTCATAAGTTTCAGGGTCACTATGATAGGAGTGGAAAGATTAACAGAAGGAATTGTGAGGTGATGGATTACTTTGAACCTTGAAAAACATAGTAGTTGAAAAAGAGTTTTCAGTGTCAGCTAGGTGGCAGAGTAGATAGAGCTCTGGCCTTGGAGTCAGGAGGACCTGAATTCCGATCCAGCCTCAGACACTTGACACCTCCTAGCTGTGTGACCCTGGGCAATTCACTTAACCCCTTTACCTCACCAAAAAGCAAAAACAAACCAAAAATAAGAAATAAAAAAAAAAGTTTCCAATACAGGGAATGCTGGGATATGCACCAGGCCCCCTGTTTATGTAAACCCTTCACAGTTTTGTTTTCTTTCTGCCTCTGGTATCTGCCAGGGGAAAAAAAAGATCCTTGGCTTCTCCTAGCACTTCCTTCCCTTTTTTTTCTTGGCTGGCCTACCCTTGATATACTTCTTTCTCATTGAGTAGTATACATTGCAGCAGTTTACATCTTTGGTGTATGAAGATTTCTTTGTGGTAAGAGAACTTGATTTGCTTTTTGATATTATGCCATACAATAGTAATGTGGTTTCCCTTAAATTGAACAGTATAGTTAAATTAAAAACTGAGGTATAAATCCAAGTTCTACTGACTGTTACTTGCTGTGTGACCTTGAATGAGTTACTTAACTTTAAGGCCTGAGTTTCCTACTCTAAAAAAAGGAGCTAGATGATCTTCTGACTCTAAATCCTGTCATCTCTCCTCCTTTGCTTCAGAGTTCTACTCTCTGGTGAAGAGGTAACCCTTCCTTTCAAAAGCAGTCCTCCCCCTCTCTTCCCATTTCACTACCTTCTGTCTACATTGTATTTTGCTCTCCTCCCCTTTAAGAGGGGAAAAAAAAATCTTTCGTTGCCCCCAACATCCCTCAAAGCTATTGGTACTTTCTCTTTCTACCTTTCATAAGCAAACTCCTAGGAAAAGCTGTCTACACCCAGTGCCTCTGCCCTTCCACTTAAGCACAACCCAGAGCTGCAGATGATGTTTGCCAAGCCAAAAGACGTCTTCCCAGGCTTTATTCTTCCTTCAAGTCTCAACTAAAATCCCACTTTCTGGGGCAGCTAGGTGGCGCAGTGGATAGAGCACCAGCCCTGAAGTCAGGAGGACCTGAGTTCAAATCCGGCCTCATACCAAACACTTGACACATACTGGCTGTGTGACCTTGGGCAAGTCACTTAACCCCGATTGCCTCACCAAAAAAAAAAAAAATCCCACCTTCTGCAAGAATCCCCTCTTAGCCTTCCTTAATAATGTTAGGGTCTTCTCTCATCCCACCCACATTATGTTGTGAACTCTTTGAGGGCTTTGTCTCCTGTCCGCAGCGCTTACTTAGCCCAGTGCCAGACACAGAGAAAGCACTCAATAGATGCTTCCACTTGATCTCTGCAATATTGGAAACTGTTCACCATCCCCTGCTCCTGGATATTCTTTCCTCTCTAGGTTTTCCTCATCATCTCCCATGGTTTTTAGGAGTAAATATCTCTGCACAGGACTCCCACATCTGTAAATATCCAACCCCAGGCACTATATTGAGATTCAGGTCCCCTGTCATGAACTGCTTGTTGAACCTTTCAGACTGTATTTGTCTGACAGCCATCTTAACCTCAGTGTTAGATAATCACAACTCACCTTTCCTCCACAACTTCCAAATGTCCCTCTTTTTGTTGAGGGAACCATCATCCTTCAGGTACCCAGACTCACAATCTTGAAGCCATCCCCAACTTTTCTTTCTACCTTGTCCCCTCCTATATCCAATCAGTTGCCAAATATTTGCCTTGACAACATCTCATATATCCATCTCCTTGTTTCTCGCCTGGACCATTATTACAGTAGGATTGTCTGTCGTCTCTCTCATTTCAAACGTGTCCTCCACGCAGCTTTCAAAATGGTTTTCCTGACATACAGGTAGAACTATGTCACTCTCCTGCTTCCAAAGCACTAGTAGTTTTATCTGTAGAAAAAAAGCAACAACTCCTTTATTTTGTATTTAAAGCCCTTCACAATCTGGCTCCAGCTTGGTATGCAGTCTTTCCAGCACTCAGCACTTTAGGCAAACTGCCCTGTTAGACATGACCTTGTCTTTCTCATCTGCCTGCCTTTGCACAGGTCAGATACTATTCCTGAAATACAATCCTGCCTCACCTCTGCCTCTTAAAATCTCTAGCTTCCTTCTAAGCTCAGTTTAAACAGTATGTCATTCACGTGACCTTTCCTGAGCTCCCATGTGTTTACTTCATGGACATATTGTTAGACTTATTGTATGGACTGTTGTTATGTCCAACAGAATTTAAGCTCCTTGAGGGCAGGGACTTCTCCAGCCCCTAGCCTAGTGTCTGGAACATAAAAAGTGCTTCATAAATGTTTGATGATAAATTGATCTGAATTACACAATTCTGTTTTGGTTTTCAGGGTTGCTTTTTCCAAGGGACTGTTCCTTGAACAGTCTATTGATGAAATAATATCAGATAACCATTATTCAAGCAGCAGTTAATTTCAGAACAATGTATTTTTACATTGTTATTAGATGGCAAGAAAATACACCCCAAGTCTATGTCCTTGAGACCCTTATAATCAAATTGGGGGTACCCAGCCCATATGTAAAGGCTTAGAAAGATTTACAAAACAATGTTTCAATCAATGTCATTAAAATAGTACCAAGTATATATTCGCAGAAAGCACTCAGAGTTAAGACTATTCATATGAATCCCTAGGATTCCTGAAAGGTCTTTTGAAATGAATTTTAAAGAGGTGAAATATATGAAATGGATAAGAATTGGTATTGCAGGTAGGGAGAAATGACAAAGTGAGAAGACACAAGCTGGGGGTGAATGTGCAAGTAGGGAGTTACCACCCAAATAGGCTTGCTCAGTATTCTATTTTTCTTCAAGACAACCTTTCAGATATAAACTGCAGGTTTGCTTTTGGAAATTTAAGCCTCTTTGAATATTAATCACATCTCTTTTGTGCCAGAAAACTTCTGATGTTTTTCAATAGGGCGATGCCATCTTTTCCCTCTCTCCACCCTTTCCCATCCTTTTTTTCAGATGGAACCAAGAAATCTAGCCATTGTTTTTGGTCCAACCCTGGTGCGATCATCAGAAGATAACATGACACATATGGTGACTCACATGCCTGACCAGTACAAAATTGTAGAAACCCTTATCCAACATGTAAGTGGGTGGTTAGTCTTTGAGAAAAGGCTTTTTGAATGAAAGATCATTTGGATTTAAATTCTTTCTCCTTTCTCTTAACACAGATATTTTTTCTCTATCCTGTCCTCCATACTAACGACAATTTGGAGGGTTTTCTCATCTTTTTTTTTTATTTTAAATTTTTAGCATGACTGGTTTTTCACAGAAGAAGGTGCAGAAGAACCTCTTGTAAGTTCCTTTTTGCTTTTATGGTTGGTTATTTTGATTTGGGACACACAGTCCTGAGTTTTCAATAGTATGACCATAGTCCACCATTTGTCACTGTTAGCTCTGCATTTCAGAAGTTGGTTTTTTGCTTCTGAATTTCTGTTGTAATGAAAATACCAGCAGCTAAAAACGTGGTACTAGGTACTGTTGTTGTTTTAAGATAAAGCAGTGTGGAAAATTAACATCAAAAGGTCAATGGGCTTTTCTAAATGTTGTTAAAAATATAATGAAATAACTTTGAAGAAATGTTGAAGGGATCTTTGTTTATTAACCATAGACAACAGTTCAGGAGGAAAACACTGTAGAGTCTCAGCCAGTGCCAAACATAGATCATTTACTGACCAACATTGGAAGGACGGGCGTATCTCCTGGAGATGTATCAGGTAACTTTGCCTAGGCAGTGTTAACCTATGGGCTAGAAAAACCTACTGGCTTATATTATAATGATAGAGCAAATAAATCACAAATAATAATTCACTATGATTTTTCTTCTTCTTCTTGTTTTTTCCTTTCCACTAATAAACTGATTCTCCTTTTTCTGACTGATCTTAAGTATCTTCCAGTGATTATAATGCCATTGGCAGTGCATGGAGTTGGAATGCTTGTTGACAAGTCTGTCAGATTTGGACATAGGAGGGGAAATGAGCATGCATAGCCCAGTTTTCTTTATTCACAGTTATCCATGTAATTGTCATCACAAGGTAAAACAGATAAATGCTACTGAATGTGTGGTTGCTGTGATGGCAGAAGGTGTGACCTTCTACATGGTAAAAATCACTATCATACCCCAGGCTAGCCATGCATTTTCAAAGCACAAAGTCAAATATTTAGAACTAATGGTACTAGTTTAACATAGCTGTGTCATGTCTCATAAAAATCAGTCTCTTACAAGTTAATCTTCTTGTTTCTCAATTGTTCCCCTACCTCTCGGTGAAGCTCTACTTTTCTAGACCCTTTTGGTGAACACTATTTCCCTGCCGTACCGTTGCACTAACCGGGCATATTGTCTCCCAGGCTTCTCCCTTTGTCTCTAGTTCTTGTTCTAGTACTAAAGGGGGTTTCAGAACTTTGTGACACAGGCCAATCTATACTGATGTTGCACAACAGGCGAAACAGGAGGCGTCTATCCCGCGGTCATGTCACTAGTGGACGCTGTGGTGTCCCTGATGGACAGCTGGACCTGTAGGAAGAAGGAGGACTGTTGCCCACACTGTAGCTGCCTTGTCTGCAGAAATCCCCCATTCTTGTAAATGCCAAAATAGTTGATCTGTGCTGTAAATTTTCTTTTAAGAGTTTTTTAAACAGATCAATGCTACTTTCTTAAAGTTTTTCTGCTGTTTCTTGTTATTTCTGAAAGCAGACCCTGAGGAGAAATAGCATGGTATGATCTACCAGTTTTTTAAGTCATAAAGCATTTAGCCATGTGTCCAAAAAAGAGGTGTGGCATGGGGCTCAGCTCCTTAATTTTGAAAATGAATCTCCCCAAAGTTGAAAAATGAAATTTCAGAATCAGCATTCTCTTGAATGGTGCTAGCCCCTTCCTACCCTCTTTATAATTGTACAATATAAGTTTTTGCCAGACAGTAAAATGATGGTCTCCATTTTTCCATTTCATGATAGCACTTATTACAGAGATAATTACTAAACTGGTAGTAGTTTAATACATAGCTAGTCAAAAGGAACCCTGGCTGCATTACTATGAAGTATAAAACTGGGGTCAAAAACACAGTATTTAACATTTTCCAATATAAATATGACCTGAAATCAAGGTTATCCTACGAACTTTTGCTTCCTTAATTACGCCATGTATAATGCTATTCTATTGAAAGGAGTTAAGTTTAACGGTCTGACAAAAATAAACCCAAATACACTTGAGTGTCTGAGTCTGTAGCTAGGACAAACCCATAGTCCTAACGTGCTGTGTTGTGTATCAGTTCAACTACAGGATATGGTACACAGTACAGTTCTTAAGAAGTCTTTAAGCTTCATTATTGCTAGACTTTTGTATTTGGAGAGGTTAATAAACACTAGTATTTCTGTTTTTGTTGAGAACAGGGCTCCTTTGCCATTCCTATCATTGAGCTGGTTCTGCCTACAATTCACAGCATCCTTTCATGGCGGTGGCTTTCTGTGGTGCAGCTTGCATCTTTGTGAGCTCTGACTATCCACTGTGTTCTATGGTTTTGTTTGGGTTTTGCTTTCACATTTTGTTCTGTGCCTGTCTCTTCCATAAGTTTTGCATTGTTTGTAGAAAGAACTTTAAAGTATGACCAAAACTGATCACATTTTATTTAACTTCACACAGATTCAGCTACTAGTGACTCAGCAAAATCTAAGGTAAATCTTTTTATTGCCTTGAAAAGTGCTTTGAAATTTGTTTTATGACTGATTGATAAATGTGCAGAGATTCAATTCAACAACCCAATTAAGGGAGACCTACTTACTTATGTCTAAATCCCTTCTATAATATTTCTTGTCTGTACCTGGTTGAGATACATAGTCAGATAGTCTCAGGACAGAATATTGATATAGCCTGGCACATTATCATCCAAAGAGTATTAGTGGTTGAGAGGCAGTCCTAGGGGGTCATAGCCTGGCTCTGACATTCGAACCTCATCTTCCCAATATGCTCAAGACTCATACTCTGGAAAGGGTTTTCCTCAAGCAACTTTGGCCAATTTAAACTACCATATTCTTTCTCTTCTTCCCATTGCTGCAAAATTTACTCCAGAATTATACAGCAGGGATTTTTAGCCTTTTGTTTTTGATGTTGTGGACGCCTTTGGCAGTCTCAGCAAATCTATGAATCCCTTTCAAAATAGTGTTGGTTGAGTACACAAAGTAAAATACATATCATTACAAAGGTAAACAGTTCTTTTGAAATAGAGCCATCAACATGTTTTTAAAAACAGCACAAGCTCATTGACCCCAGGTTAAATACTAAGCTGATTTCCTCACAAATGCTTCCCGGTTCTTATAATTTGGTTTCTGTCCCTACTACTCTAAGATACCATGTTCTACCTCACTGTAATTCAGGAATTCAGTATCTTCCGTCCCAGAATACCAACATTACCTCCATCACTTACTTAGCTTTCTGACTTCAGGCCAATCAGTCGCTATCTCCAAATCGGTTTCCTCTTTGAGATATTGGGTCCTGGAGTTAAGGGATATGATAAAGAGTTTGGAAAGATCCCAGGGCAAAAAGAGAGAGAGAGAGAGAGACCAAACCATGAAATTTTCTTGAAAATGGAGTACATCAGGGCTATTGGTATTCTTTTCCTTTAGAAAGTTTGAGGGGGGAATATAACAAAAAACCTCAAGAGAAACTGAATATGGCTGAGTTGTTTTTTCTAAGTTTCCCTTTTATCTTTCCTTCCCAGGGTTCTTGGGGATCCGGAAAGGATCAGTATAGCAGGGAATTGCTTGTATCCTCCCTCTTTGCAGCAGCCAGTCGCAAGAGGAAAAAAACAAAAGAGAAAGCACAGCCAAGCAGTTCAGAGGATGAGTTGGATAATGTCTTTTTCAAGAAAGAAATTGCAGAACAACCTCACAATGATAATGGTAGCAAAGAGGACAGCAGAGGAGAGTCAAAAAGAGAGATTGATCCAGCGAGAAAGCAAAGGACTAGTGTTTCTAAAGATACTAGTAGTAAAAAAGACTCGCATGTGAGGAAAGAGGAAAAGCTGGCACCAAAGAAAGAGAATGTGGCATGTGGAGAGCCCTCGCTGCCCTCCAACTCAAAACACACTAGATCACCTACTCTCGGCTACCGCTTCACCGTGCTTAAAGAAGGCCCCCAAATATCCTCTCAGCTCCCAGACACCTCTTCTGGCCCTGGCGCTCTACTTAGCACTCCCTCCCCACCGACCTTGGTGAGATTGCCTGCTAAGAAATCGTTCAGTCCGGAAATTCAATGCAACGAGTTTCTGGCCTGTGCCAGTTCGACCCCCTCAGACTACTCAGCCACTGCCTACCTGACCGGCCTGGATGCCAGCAGGCTAAGCCCAGAGGTACAGTCAGTTGCTGAGAGCAAGGGAGATGAGGCTGATGATGAGCAGAGTGAATTGGTCAGTGAAGGGCGACCTGTAGAAACAGACAGTGAAAATGATTTTCCGGTTTTTGCCACAGGTTTTCTTTCGGAGAAGTTCTTTCGGGGTAAAATCCAAGAAATGGGAAAGACAGGTCGGAGAAACTCAGAAGGAAGTGAATTAAGTTGTACTGAGGGAAGTTTAACACCAAGTTTAGACAGCCGGAGACAGCCATTTAGTTCACATAAGCTTATCGAATGTGATACACTCTCCAGAAAAAAGTCAGCTCGCTTCAAGTTGGAGAGTGAAGGTGTAGGTGATACCAAGAATGAGAAAGAATCATCCTCTGTAATGAAAGTATTTGACATGAAGAAGAAAGGAAAGTCAACAGGGAATTTGCTGGTGCCAGCTAGAAGTGAATCAGAAAAACATGAACCCACTTGGAGAATTAAAATAACTGACCGGCTAAAACTGAGGCTTAAAGCGTCTGCAGATGACATGTTTGGGGTGGGAAGTCAGAAAAATAGCTCTGCAGAGAGTACTAAAAGGAAAAACATCAGAAGACGACACACCCTCGGAGGGCAAAGTGATTTTGCAGAAATCAGTGTTTTAAATGCTTGGAAGGTTCCTGAACAGAGTGGAGAAAGAGAGTCTGAACTTTCCGCTGTGACTCGATTAAAACCCAAATGCCCAGCCCAAGACCTCTCCATTTCAGACTGGCTAGCACGAGAACGCTTACGTACTAGCACGTCTGACCTGAACACAGGAGAACCCGGAGAGCATAGACTGGAGAACACTAGTATAACAGAAATCTATACATCAGATGGAGGCAGCTCCCTTAGCACCTTAAGTTTGACAAACAGACCCCTTCTTTCCATATCATCCCAATCACCTGAACAAATAAATGGTGAAAGCTTTCAGAATGTCAACCAAAATGATACTCCTCTACTTGTTGCCAATTCTCAAAAACCATCCCTAACCCCAGGAACTAAATCACAATTTCATCAGTGTCTCTAAACTGGAGGGATGCATCCACTACAGCAACTCAAAAGCTACTGTTACATGTTCCAATAACTCTGTAAATATGTTTCTGTACTAGAATTGTTATTATGCAGCCTTCATTTTGGGCTGGTTTCATCAATGTGCACTGTGGAATGTCTTCACTGTGCATTTCTATGGCCAGAAGAACATAAAGTTCAGAAAAAATATATATCTATATATTTTAAAAACATATTGGATGGTTGCATACAAATAAGCAAGGTATTTGTTGCAACATGCTATGTAGTCTATACAAGGTTTATGACCAGAAATTGATGAGTAAAACAGCTGGCATTAGTATGCAGCAAATTTGTTCTTTTGGTTTAGTCACTAACAAAAGTGCCTCATCATAACAATTCATTGGGTTTGTTAGGGTGCCATATTGTTAACTGTTAAATTAGAAAACTTAAAATGAACAGATGAAAGCATTTTATTGGTAATGTTTCATTACGTATTACTGATTTTAACACAGGTGGATACAGAGCTTCCATTCCTTAGGCATTCCAGTGGGATCTCTGAGTTTTATATTCAAACTTTTAATACAGTTTTTGAGTTTTGTGTGACTTGAATTTTTAATCTTTCTGTAAAATAAGTAACTTAAATGAACATATTATATGTGTATCTTTTCTTCAGATACCAGATTTGTTATAAATGTTGTAACATAGGCGTGTAGATAGTGGATCCTGGATGGAACTGGCTTCTTTTATGAAGAATATAATTCTGCATGAAGACTTAATGAATCCAAACCTGTGTCATGCCTGTGTGCATACCCAATTAAACACTGGAAATAAAATTGTTTTGTTGAATTTTTTGCATGGTTCAATATCATTCTACTGAGTCATTTTAAAATGTCACTTATAAATTATAGTCAGCATCTGCTTATGGTAAATAGTAGCTAGCCCTGCCTTCGGAAAAAACAAACAACAGAATGATTATTTTTATGATATGGAAGGAATCACTTTTGTTCTAGGTTTGCAAAGCATTATCTTCTCTTATCGCTCTTTGCAGTCCTAATGCAGTCCTTTGCAGTGCATAATCCTCCACACACCAGTCTACCCACTCCATATACAAAAGATGGCCACAAGGCATTCTTTTCTTTATAGGGCAGCTGTATTTAGAGCAATTTATGAAAGCTTGAATTTTGTTTCATGTTGATAACACAGGAATGTTCCTATAAAATGCATCTTCTTCTGTTTCTATGTAGATAATCCAGAGCATAATACACTTTGCAAGTCTGGGTCTTAGATTCCTTATTGTTAAAGGTTCCTTCCAACCTCTAGACTGGAGATCTGGGAATTTGTTTTTTTTTTTTTTAATATTTTGATAATTATACTCCAACACAACTAGTTTCCTTTATAATGTTATGTATTTTATTTTACATATTTAAAAACTTTTTTCTTAAAGAAACATTCATAGTAGGCCTCAAACTGTTGCTAGAGGGGGAAAGGTTAAAAATGCAGGTTCTAGATCTAGTATCCTATGACCTGAACCCAATGGGACAAGAGAGCCACAAAGAAGTATTTGTTCACCTAAGACTAATTCAGAAGCTAAAGCTTACCTTTTTTTAATGAACAAAACTTTTTTGATTGTATGAATAGAGTATTAACCAAATTTCAGGAAAAATGTTTAATGAGGAAATCTATTTTACTGTATTCTTTACTTTAAACACTCCTAGGATACAGATATAACCACTAGCTAATAAATTTAGTTCATCTTACATATTGATTTTTTCCTGCATGTTACCTTATAAAAAATAAGAAAATCCTAAGAAACTGAGCCAATACCACAAATTTAGCTTTTTTTAAAAATCTGCCAAGCTTCCCATGATATGCTAGTCTAATAATTATTCCTATCTCCTATACCACAGGTGAGAGACCTTTTTTCTTTTTTTTATAAAAAGGCCAAAAGCTAGTTCATGAAGTCATTATCAAGCAGAATATTATCACAGATGTTAGGAATGATGTGTGTGTGTGTGTGTGTTTTGGTATGCAGAGACACGTATAAATACACATATAGACAAATATACTTATGTGTGTATATATATACACATGTATACATAGACGTGTGTATAGGTATATACATATATATGGTACAGGGAAAAAATGCATTTCCCCCAAGAATAGATATATAGATATAAATTCATATTCTTTGATATTTCCCTTTTTAAAAAAAATAAAACGAATAATTATTGTACCTGCTTATTGTAAGCTGATAACCTGTTCACCCACAACTAATTCGGCTCTTGAGTACTTACCTTTAATCATATCTATTGACATTGAAATTGACTAAAAACATTAACAACAGCTATTGAGAAATTCATACAAAGTGTTTTATTATTCACAGTTTTACAATATAATACAGGAATTTCACAGAGACCTCTTTCACAAGTTTGTTGTTCAGTTTCATTTTTTTCTCATGGAGATGAACATCTAACAGATATGCTTATATTACCTAGCTTTTTTTCAATTAATAGGCTGACTAGCTTCCAAAGAAATCTAGTCTTTCAAATATAAGACTTAAAAGACAGCTATGCATTGATTCCTAGTAATCCAATTATTTCTGTTTTTCCTTGAATAATTTGAGTCATGAAAGAAGGTTTGGATTTTGAATATTTTTTAATTTTTACATGCTATTTTTCTGCCAATCATTTGCTGAAAGTGGAGAACATAGTACCTGGCAGACCTCCTGACATGGTGTAGGGATGCTGGGAACCCTGAAATGCCAAGCTACAGTGCGGGAGTCTGACTTGAAAGAATTCAACATCTTGAGCCTTCTTTCAGTCCAAGTAATTAGTTGATTAAGACACAGGTTGGGGGACCCCCTTCCAGGAGCCAAGATGGCAGAGTAAGAGGTAAGTCGCTCTGACCCTCCCATATTAACCTCTGAAAACCCAGAAATATTGCCCAAGGAAAAACCCTGGAACAGCTGAACCAGAAGAAAGATAGGGTGCGGCAATCCTGTAGCCCAAGTAGCTTGAGGGATTAACTGGAATAGGCCCTTCTTGCCTTGGGGGGAAGGGAAGCAATACAGAACAGGAGGCTTCTCAGCAAGCTAGCAGAAAGCCCCACCTCAGGATACCAGGAGGAGATCCTGAAACTCAGGTGGTGGAGCAGGCAAATACCAACACCTGGACCCCCAAGCGCCTCAATGACAGCTGAGGAACCAGTGGAAATCAGTGTGGAAAACCAACAGGTGCCTCGGCATTCTACAGTGACCGGGGCTAAGACCCCCAGTGCCTCAGCAAAAATAAGGGAAGCAGCACTACAAAGGGCCCCAGGTGGTTTAACACCCTGTAACATCCATCTGAAAGGAACTGAAGAAAGCAAAAGGAAAGGAAAAGCAGGCAACCTAGAGTTGCCCTAGAGTTCCAGCCTTGCTGATTCCAGCCCAATACCAAGTAAGCTGCCAGAACCCTGCAGCCTCCAACTGCCAACATTGAAGGCCCCAGCACACAAAGCCAGTGACCAGGCCCTAGGCTCCCAATGCAAGAAACTTGGGTCATTGCCCTCTGCTCCCCAGCAGGAGAGCTCAATCTTTTTAAAGGCCAGGAAAAAAGCAAACACCATGAACAAAAAGAAATGTATCATAGACTCATGAGAACAGTGAAGATCAAGGCACAAATACTGAAGAGGACAACATTGTCAACAAACCCACATCTGGAAACTCAAAAGGGAATATGAACTGCTCTGAAGCCCAAAAAGCCTACTTAGAAGAGCTCAAGAAGGATTTTAAAAGTCAAATGAGAGAGGTAGAAGAAACAATGAGAGGTATGCAAGAGAGAGTCAATAGCCTGGAAAAATAAGAACAAAAATTAACTGTAGAAAACAAATCCTTAAAAAATGCAATTGGCCAACTTGAAAAAAAGTACACTGAAGAAAACAAGTCCCTAAAAATACAATTGGACAAATGGGAAAGGAGGTACAAAATCTAATAGAAGAAAACAATTTGTTAAAAATTAGAACTGGGCAAATGGAAGCTAATGACTATGAGAGAGCAAGAATCAGTCAAACACAAACAAAAGAATAAAAAAAAAATAGATGAAAACATAAAAGATCTTGTTGATGAAACAACTGACCTGGAAAACTGATCCAGGAGAGACAATTTAATTATTGGTCTACCTGAAAATCACGATGAAAAAAAAGAGCCTGGACAGTATCTTTCAGGAAATCATCAAGGAAAACTGCCCTGAAGTCCTAGAACCAGAATTCACCGATCACTTCCTGAAAGAGATCCGAAATTGAAAACGCCAAGAAATATAGTAGCCAAATTCCAAAATTACCAGGTCAAAGAGAAAATACTGCATGCAGCCAGAAAGATACAATTTAAATATCGAGGAACCACAATCAGGATTACACAGGACCTTGCAGCTTCTACCTTAAAAGACCGTAGGGCGTGGAATATGATATTCCATAAGGCAAAGGAGCTTGCATTACAACCAAGGATCAACTACCCAGCAAAAATGAGCATGATCTTTCAGGGGAAGAGATTCAACAAAATAGGGGACTTCCAAACCTTCCTTCTAAAAGGACCAGAGCTCAACAGAAAAGGTGATCTTCAAATACAAGACTCAAGAGAGACATAAAAAGGTAAACGGGACAGAAAAATACAGTATGTTGTTAATAAGGGCAAACTGTTTACATCCCTACAAGGGAAGATGACACTTGTAACTCTTGAGAAATGTATTGTTATTAACACCATGTTCAAGGGGTATACATAAAGGGGGTGGATATAAGTTGACTTTGATGTAATGATTAAAAAAAAAGTCTAATCAAGTGGGTTAAATGGGTCCAAGCAAGTGGATCAATCTGATCTAAGAAAATATACTGAGAGAAAAGGAAAGGAGGCAGACAAGGATAAATTACATTACAGGAAAAGGTACAAAAACCTATTCCAGCAGAGGGAAGAAAGGGAGGGAGATGAGCATTGTTTGAACCTTACTCTCATCAGATTTGGCTCAAGAAGGGAATAACATAATCAGTTACGTATAGAAATCCAACTAGCCCTATAGGCAGTGGGAGGGAAAAGGGGAAAGAAAAGAGATAGAAGGGAGGGAAGAATTAGTAAGGGTAAAGAGGAGGAAAAGGGAAGGGGCTAATAGAATGGAGGTGGGACAGAGAGGCGGTGGTGAAAAGCAAAATGTGAAGAGGGAAAAGGAGAGAGAAAAGCATAAACAGTGGAGGGGGGGCAAAGGATGGAGAGAAAGACAGATAATAATCATTACTGTGAATGTGAATGGGATGAACTCTCCCATAATACGAAAGCGGATAGCAGAATGGATTAAAAATCATAATCCTACAATATGTTGTTTATGGGAAGCACATTTGAAAAAGAGTATTACAGAGTAAAGGTAAAAGGCTAGAGCAGAATATATTGTGCTTCAGCTGAAATAAAAAAAGCAGGGGTAGCAATCCTGATCTCAGACAAAGCAAAAGCAAAAATAGATCTTAACAAAAGAGATAAGGAAGGAAACTACGTCCTGCTAAAAGCCATAGATAATGAAGTAATATCATTACTAAACATATAGACACCAAATGGTATAGCATCCTAATTCTTAGAGGAATTATAGGAAGACATAGACAACAAAACTATACTAGTGGGGGACCTCAACCTCCCCCTTTCTGAACTAGATACATCTAACCACAAAATGAACAAGAAAGAAGTGAAGGAGTGAATAGAGTACTAGAAAAGTTAGGTATGATAAACCTCTGGAAAAAATGGAATGGAGATAGAAAGGAATGTACTTTTTTCTCGGCGGTACATGGCACATACACCAAAATTGACCATGTACTAGGGCATAAAAACCTCA